ATATATATATTGATGTTTGCCCTAGGGTGTCGACAAGTTATACCTTTCGATTTAATCTCCTTCTCAAATGTCTTTTAGTTTCTCTTGGGCTGCTGCCCATAAGTTTTCCTGACTTGGCGATTATTCAGATATGGATGACGACACGGAAATCTTTCCTTAACAGGAAAAAAATGTGCTTTGGTTTTCCTATTTAGGGAAAAACAATAAAAAAATGGGTGTTTAAGTCGCGATGACCTTCAAAATTTGACAAAAAGTTAAAATTTCGCTAAGGGAGTTTCCCAGCTTTTTTAAAGGTTATAAGCGCAGATCTTATGCATTGCAATAACTGATAAATATTTCTTGTTTTTTTTCCATCATTTTTATGTCATCCATAAATTTTATAATTATTTACTATGCATATCTTTTTATTTTATTCGTAAATAAAAAAAAATTAAAAGATATTACATGACGATAATTAAAAACATGATATTGCACTCCATGACCGTAACTGTAACCTTGTTTTGTTATGCGCAACAGTAGTGGTAAAGAGTTATCGAGTTGGAATATTTGTTTTCTGTTATTGTTTAATTCTAGATAAAGTTTATGGTAAGCATTACTGTCATTATTTAAATCATTTTAAGTGTAAAAATGTAATAAGTATCTTTATATGTCGCGTAATTTGATCGGAAGTTAATACTACCGGCATGCAATTCGTCAACCTACTCCTCTAAAAAAATTTTCGTTAATTAGGTGTCTGCTGTTAATTAATTATTAGTTCTATTTAATGTGAGCATTGTTTAACATGTGTGGATACATTCCCATTAAAATGCTTTGATAGAAATGAAACTGTCGCAATTGTGGCCCTTATGTAATGTAATCAATATGTGTGTGTGTTGAATAATACGAGCAAAATGTTAAAATACGTAGCTTCTTAGCAGTTTGTAACGATATTTTTTTATATATACGCTTTCTTAAGCATATGTGGAGTAATTTAATTTAATTTTATTGGACGTGTGCATATCAGGCATAGCGTTTCACCGGATATTTTCGAATTTTGTTTCTACACAAGCCTTAATGATTTGAAAATTTTAACTTAAATCTTCCTAATGTTTTTAATCGCATCTGTTATTTTGTGCACTTTATTTCTCGCTTTAAACTTTTGCTTTGAATTTAAGTAAATCCTGAATGCAACATTAGCTGGTAGGTTGAAACTAAGAGTTTTTATTTTAAGAGTTACCAGAAAATTGTCTGGAGTTACCATATCGATTGTATAACAATCGATATTAAGTTCTTTCTAAAATATAATGTGTTTGGGTAATAATATGAAATAATAATAATTGGGTAATAATAATTTGTTGTAATAATATGAAAATGGCTGTTTTAATCGCAAATAATTTGGTCAATGAATGTTCCTGAATGAAACCTGTTCCTGGTCACTGAATGAAACCTGTTCCTCATTGTTTAACCTTCAGTTGAAAACTGTATCCATTTTGAATCTGTTTTAAATTAACCCATTTTAAATATTTCAAACTTCACTAAGTGTTTAAATTTTTAGGGAGTTTGATTATAGAAGCAAACTCTCCGAATGTTCATAGAAGTATAGTTCATAGTATTAAGAGTATTAATGGATTCTGCATGGCTTTGTTCAGCCATGAGTTAAACGTGGAAAAAAAAATTTGCCATAGTTTTTTGCTATTTGAGTTATTATTTATAGAAGCAAACTCTCCGAATGTTCATAGAAGTATAGTTCATAGTATTTAGAGTATTAATGGATTCTGCATGGCTTTGTTCAGCCATGAGTTAAACGTGGAAAGAAAAATTTGCCATAGTTTTTTGCTATTTGAGTTTAATCAATCAATCTTATTAGACTTAACAGTGTTTTCACTACAGCGCGAGAACGCGAGAATCTCGCATATTTTTTTCTTTTCTCGCATTAAAAAATGATTACCGCGAGAAATTCGCGCATTCTATAAATCAATTTCAAAATTCGCGAATTTCTCTCATTTTGGAAAAAGCTTCGAATTACGTCATTTAGAATAAAATCCGTTTCACTTTTCTTCCTGGATCTTCATTATTTTCAACACTTGTCCCGTTATCCAGCTTCTCTATTTACCAGTAGGCATTGTTCAGAACCTTTTCGAACAACAGAACACAACCCCTCCGAACCACGGAACCCCTTTTAAAACACATTTCTCTGCAACCACGTGTTTACTGTAGGTATGGTTTTTCATGTAAGACGTTCAAATTTTTTTATGCGCTAATGTAAGATGGACAAATACCTAGTAAAGGCAAAATCTTCTATGATGATGCAGCAAAAATATTCAATGCTTTAAAAAATAGAAGACGTTAAAAATGTATTATAACAAAAGAAATTTTTTTTTCCAAGTCTATTTGTATTTTTTCAGTTTTTAGAAATCTCACTTAACTTTCTGAAATCTCACCCTGTTTTTGAGAAAGGGTGAGAAATTCTCACCCATTTTTTTTCTATGATGAAAACACTGCTTAACTATATTTTAATCAAGTTTAAATGAAGTATAAAAAGAGTATTTGAAGAGGGTTTATATCAGCACTTGAGGATGTCTACTTGTTATATCCTCCAAATTAGTCTTTTTCTGTGCTGTTTTTTTAATTTGTAATAGGCTGCTTTTTTAATTTGTATTGCTCACAAGTCGCTAAAACGTGGTTATTATTTTAATGTAGATACTAATAAAAAAGCTTTCCACCAAAGTATATATAAAGGGAAAAGTTGTGTAAATCGTAATTATCTAACAATTTTAATCAGTTCTAATAATTTTTGTTGGTACTTTGAAATGATTCTGTGAACCATTTTCGTACTTTAAAATTATACTGTTGACCATTTTCGCCAAACTCGATATCGGCAAAAGGTAGCGTCCGCTCTAATAACCGCAAATTTTACTGTGTAATCGATGAAGAGATTTCCGTAGTGTGATCTGTGCGGGGATGAAATACTTCCTTGATAAAGCATAAATCCACTTTTTTCTCTCAATTTTTAAAGCTTTCGACCATGTTCCAAAAATAAAAAATTTTGGGAAGTCCAATTATTAAAGCAGCCCCCTCCACCATGGTTGCCGAAACTCATGCTACCCGGTTGCTAGTCGGATTTGGAACAAACTTCCTTCCTACTGTAGTAGCTTGCCGGGAAAGGATGATCACTAGAAGAAAATTGATAGAGCTTTGGCCTGTGCACTTCCGCTGCAGAGCGGAAAAGATGATGTTCTTGGTTGTTGAGTACTCAAGCAGTTTTGTTTCCACTACCTATATTGGTTCGACAGGTATTGATTTTACATGTGCGTTCCTTATAGTTCTCTTGGCTTCACACCTCCTTATTTTTGACAGTTTCTGCTTTTGTCCATGCACATGTTTGTTTTCGTTTACTTGTGTCCTTTTAACGTGGTGCGTCATAGTTGCCAACTGTTCTAATTAAATCATATTTGTTCAGGTAATCTTGTTCCTCATATAATCCTATTTGTTAGATCACCTTGTTCCTAAAATATGACTTTAGGTCAAAATGTTCTCATTTTTCAGTATTGCAGCACCTTTTTACTCTATATGCCAATTTTCTTTTGACCCAGGACGCTCCTAAGAACTAGGAGCAGGGCATGTGATTTTTCCACGAATCAAAACCATTGGTTTGAGGACTTGAACTCCAACAAAATTTTGAAACTTATGCTAAAACTCTAACTAGACATTTACATGCACATGATTCTTCTGCCAATTTGATTTCTTTATTGTGGCTGATTTTAAATATTTGGATCTATGTCACAAACTGCTAATATTAAGATCCTTAATCAGGCAATTTTATTAACGATGTTCGTATTGTGTCTGATTTGAAAGTTATGTATTGTAATTCGTTTTCATATGATTTAAAAGTCCTACATTGCAATTCCCATTCACGCAATTTGAAAATCCAATATCGTGATCCGTATTCACGCATTTTTAAAATCCAATATTGCGATTCGTAATCATGTGGTTGTAATATCAAACATCAATTTTTGTATTTATGGACAATTTAAAAACTACTCATTGCAATTCATTTTTGCGCGATCTAATAACTATGCATCGTGATTATTTACGCATCAAATTCAACATCGCAATTTGAATTTTCGTATTTTTAAAATCCAATATCGCAATTTATATTCCACTGATTTTAAAATCCAATATCGCGATTCTTGGATCAGTTACTATTAAGATGTGATTTTCTTCATTAGATTTGATATTCTTCATTACAAGTAATTTAATTAAAACTGTTAACTCAAAAAATTATATTATATATGAAGTGTGTATGGTTTATAAATATCTGGATATTTTGATATCTATATTTTGTTTTTCACTTTGCTTTATAATTACCCCTGATTGGTTCCTACTTTTATTTTTAACAAGTAGGCAGCTATGAGTAAGATAAATGTACTTTCAACTTTTTTTTATTTTTGTTAACTTTCATGCCTGCCTGTAGCAAAATAATTGCAAAATCTTGGCAGCTTCCAGACAGTGTCCGCAAGAAACTAAAAAAAAAAATCTGAAAAAAAACTAAATTGAAAGTTATAAGTGGTGTGTCATGTGATTGAAAAACAGCTGTCATAAAATAAAAGGAAACAGTAAACAAAATAGAAAACAGTCTTTGAAAGAAAAATGGTTGTCATTAAGTCGTTTTTTGGTTTATTTCTGTTTTGTTTTGAAATTTGCTAAAAAAGAATCGCAATATCTTTTTGTTTAAGTAAATTTTAATTCTTATGCACACGTTAAGAGTCTTTTTAAAAAACATAGAACAGTTGTAAAAAACTTAATAAAATTTGTGTAAGATGTAAAGTTTTAAAAAATTACCTTAATTAAAATTTTAATAAGTTGGTGTTTGTTACAAGTCTCTCGAATTGACATAATTCATTCAATTTAAAGTATGTGGTAAAAAGTTAAATATTTTTCATGATTGGATACTTTGTCCCCTTAAAGCATTAACTAGCTTTTTTTTCCTTGAATTAAAAAATCATTATTTTCTTTTGCAGTATCGTGGACACTTCATCGGAATATAAACTTGTAAGCATGGAATCTGCTGTAAGTATTTGATCTTTTTCAGATATCACTCAGCTTTATATATATATATATATATGTGTACAGATCANATATTATATTAAGTTAAAAATATTGAAATATAGAAAATGATAGATTAATGAAAAGAGAAAAAAAAATATTAAAATAAAATAAATTTAAATTTATGTATTAAAATATGTATCTAAAGCTGGGGAAAAAATTATTCAATAAAAACATTATATTCTACAAGCTAAACATATTTTCTCCAAAGCTTAATTTTTTAAAAATAAATGTTGTACCAAAACATTGTAAAATAAAAACAAAATCTTGCCAAATTGTTAAAATAAATTTAGTCTAATTATTTTTTCCATATGATACATTAAAAAAAATAACATGTTAAATAAAATACTTTATAATATTGATACTTTTCTTGCACCCATCCTGCTTTTTCTGCAGAAAAAAACACACACTGGCCTGAAAATTGTAAGATTTTTACCTGGAAAAATCAGGGACATTTGAAACATGATTTGAGTAGCTACCCTGGATATAAATGAAAAGGGAAAGCATGGCGGACTGACCTTCTACTAACGCTTAGGGAAAACACTATTGTGTTCTCCCTAATGTGTGTATATATAAGGATGCGTAGCATTTTTAAAAAAGTGCTTATTTTCATTTTTTAAAAGCCCTTTAAGGGGCATTTTTCTTTTGCTGTTTTTAAAAAGTGCTTAATTTTCACTTTTCTAAAATGATATTTTTTCTTTACCATGTTGATTTTCGCTACGAATTACGCAGAAATACACTGTTCACATTGTTCAATTCAGCCCAAAAGGTTTTTTTTTTTTTTTTTTTTTTTTTTGTCATGACGATTAAAACCAGATAAGACCGTCAATTGTCAAAAACTTTCCAACTCTACCTAATTATATTTTTTTGAAGTGCTTAAAAATATTATTTGAGTGCTTAAAAGATGCTTATTTTTTGTTGAATAATTTGGCTACGCACCCTGTATAATGTTTTGTACTTTTAAGTAATGAACACTTTAACTTTAAATTTTTACTAAGGTAAAACTTTTATAAAAGAAGAGGAAAATTATATCACATACTAAAAGTATAAATTACTTAAATACAAAATACTGCTATTAAATTGTATCTCTTGAAATGAAAAAATTGATTAAAAGAAACAATGAAAAATAAGTTTTTTTGTTCGTAATTTCTTTTTGTTAATAGATTGAGCTCAGAACAAAAATCAGACAAAATATCAGTGATTGCAAAGTAAGAGTAGATTTGCTAAAAATAATTGACAAGAAACATTAAATCCCGACAGACAAAATGATGCGCAATGAAAGCTAAGTAGCAGAAGTCCCACTGAAGGTAATTAACAAGAAAGGTTTACTCCCGACGAAACAAAATGCATTTTGATTGCAAAATGGCATTAAGTCCTACTGAAAATAATCTTCAGGAAATATTAAAATCCCAAAGGAAAAAAGAAATGCATTAGGAAACTATGCCTTAAGTTCTTGTTTTCGACGTTGATCATCGCACAAAGCCACGATTTCTGATTCAGTTCGCTCTTTGCCATTCAACATCACAAAATGGACATCGTTTTTCAAGCTAAACGAAATCAAAATCATCGTTGCCAGCGTTAGCACAGTCAAAGATCATCACCTGTTGAATCGCAAGCGTCTTATATTGGTGCCTTAAATCAGAATGCTGATGCTCTCAAGAAACTAAAAATCAGTCTCAGTGTGGAGATGTATCCGTGAAATCCATAATTCGTAGTATATCGCCCGGTTCTACTGCCAATGTAAAATTTAGCTTGCACTTGTGCACTCAAATAATTGCAGTGTAATGATAGGGAGAGTGGGAGGAAAATGCTTAATGCTCACTTTTTTTTTGCCCAGTATAAATTTGTCCTGAGTTCACTGCACTGGTATTTTTGAAGGTTAAGCTATTGCTAGGTTGTTGTCAGGGCTCGAAAAAACTGAGAAATTTTACCCGTCCCCGAGGACGGCTTGTCCAACAATGTACCCATCCTCCTTTGAAACTAACCTGTCGCTTTTTACGAGCCCTGGTTGTTGTTAATTAAAACATTAATGAATTAATTTAGATTAGAATTAAAATTAATTAATTTCGAAGCAATGCGAATAAAAAATTGCCTAGATTTTTTTCCTGATTTATCTAAACTGCGAGGATAAACTAAGAATGTTTGAATTAATTTTGAGGTGATGCGCAGAATCTTAGTTCATTGGCTGAGACTCATTTTTAGTTATAGGCATTTTGTTTTTAATAGAGTCAAAGAATTTTGTTGACTTTGCTGCATTAAGGAATATTTTGTTGTGCATCTGCTAAAAAAGATGACTAAAAATTAACGCTAAGGTATTTTCGATTTGTTATATTTTGTTTAATTTTTGATGAAATTTATATTTTAAGAATCTTAGTTCAGGTTTTTTGTTGCACTCTGTAATGAGTTTTGTTTTGTTTGATATGATTAAAGGCTATAATTTAATAGCATAACCTTTATTTGATCTTGAAGAACTATATTTATAGTAAAAAAAACAAGATTATAAACTTTACTATTGTAATTTTATTTGTTGTTCTTGATTAAAAAATAAGAAAATCTTAAAGTTTTTCAAAAAATATTTGCATTAATCTGTAGAGCAGTAACTGTTTTTGTGAAGCAGTCTTAAGCTAAATTTGTAAACTGAGAAGATATTTATTATGCGAATTAAGTTATTTTTATTACTTTTTTTAACATTTTAGGTGCCTTATTCATTATCTGACATTCAATTACCGGATAGTCCAAGTAGCATTGTAAAGTCTGCTGCCAAAGCAACTTCAAAGAAAGAGACTTTGACACCTCTCCCTACAAATGATAGTGACAAAGACAGTCATTCAGATAATGATATTCATAGAAATGGTCTGAATTCTGGATCTAAGTCTCGCTCTAAAGAAAAGTCTGTGTTAGATGATACATCTAACAAGAGAAAAATGTCAGTTATGGAATCAAAAAAACCAGACCATAAAAATACAGTATCAGATATTGTAGGGGAGTCAACATTTCTTCAGAAAAGTAAACAGTCAATGAATAAAAAAATCATTGATTCGGAGGAAAAGACTAGTAGAAAAAAAGAAAAAAGCTTTCAAAGTAGTGATAAACGTCCAGAATCACATACTAATAGCAGCAGTGAGGAAAGTTCTGGGTCAAGCAGAAGTAGGAAAAAAAGGCAACCAAAAAGTAAAATTTCTGTCGAACAGTCTAACATTCATAAAGGCAGATCTCGCTCTTCTTCTTCCAGCAGCAACAGCTCTCAAAGTGAAGAAGGAACTCCTAAAAAACTACCTAAAGAAGTTTTTAAAAATGTGAAAAAGAAATCACCTGAATCAGATGTACCTGTCACAGAGATTGATAAACATATTGAAGAACCCAAACAAATTTCTGTGACTTTGAAAAGTAAACCTCGTTCATCTTCCCCGAGTAGGAAAAATAGTTCACCAAGTAGAGAAGAAAGCCCCGTGGAACCACCTAAAAAAGATGTTACAAAATCTTCTGTGCCTGATGCTTCAAGGGCTGCCAAAAAATATCGTATTGATAGGAACTATGAACGAAAAGATTCAAAAAGTAGATCTCGTTCTCCCACTGCCAGCGAAAATAAAAATTCCGAAAAACCATCTACAGAGAGTGCCAAAAAATCAGTGGAACATGATATTTCAAAAGTTGAGAAGAAACATCACGACGAAAGTAGCTTGGATGAAAAAACTTCAAAAAGTAAGTCTCGTTCTTCCCCTAGCGATCACGATTCTAAGAGCCGAAAGAAAAGTCCTTTAAAGCAATCTGAAGAAGATGTAAAAAACCAAACTGTACCTGATACTTCTATGATTGTTAGAAAACGTGAGAGTAGTTATGATCAAAAGTCTTCAAAAAGTAGATCACGTTCTCCAACCATGGCTAGTAGCCGGAGTTCGAAGAGTAGAGAGAAAAGTCCTGTAAAACCATCAAAACAAGACATTAGACTACACGATTCTGATGCTCATAAGCTTATTAGAACTCGTCATACTGAATGTAGCTCTGATAAAAACACTTCAAAAAGTAGATCTCATTCCTCTTCTAGCAGTGAAGAAAAAAGTCTCATAAAACCACCTAAAGAAAGTTTAAAAAAATCATCTGTGTACGATGCTTCAAGGGACACTAGAAAGCATCATCCTGACAGTAGCTCTGATCATAAAACTTCAGAAAGTAGATCACGTTCTCCCTCTAGCAGCCAAAGCCGAGAAAGAAGCCCTGTGAAAGAAGAGAGGAGGAAAAGAATCATGGATAAATTCTCCAAAATCGATCGAAAGCCTGTCTCTAGTCGGAAGACTTCTAAGAGTAGATCTCGTTCTCCCTCTAGTAATGAAAGTGAAGGAGAAAGCCCTCTAAAAAGATCTAGAGACAATGCTAAAAAATCTGTAGTGACCGAGGATTCTAGGACTAGAAAAGGCCATACTGAAAGTGTTTCTGATCGAAAAACCTCAAAAAGTAGATCGCGTTCAACTTCTAGCAGCAGAAGCTCTCACAGCCAAGAGAAGCGCACCAGAAAGTCATCCAAAGAAAATGTTGAAAAATCAGTAATGTCTGATACTTCCAAGAGTGGTAGGACTCATCAGACTGGGATCGACTCTAATCAAAAAGCTTCAAGAAGTAGGTCTCGTTCTTCTTCCAGTAGCCCACCTCCTCATAAAAGGAGAGATGTACAAATATCTGAAGAAATTGCTAAAGATGTTACCAAGTCATTGACCACTGATGTTAAAGGTGCTGTAGATCAAAAATCTGATTTACCTAGTGATCCCCCTCGTAAAAAGTTAAAGATCAATAGAAACAACGTTGTTATATCATCTCTTGGATCCTCCGAAAAACTTCCTGTTGATGAACAGAAAAAAATATCTAATAAGAACTTCAGTGAAAAGAGAACAGAGATTTCTCCTAGTTCACCAAAAATAGAAAAAGAACGAAGGTGAGCATTTATTTCTTGTTCGTTAGACGCATTTTATTTTCTGTGTTTTGCATACATATATACAAATTCAAAATTTTTAGTTTTCTTTGAATAAGTCTATAAAACTGTATAGTGTTGGTTGGAAACCATCATTTCTGTTCCCAGAACCAAAGTTAAACATTTTAAAACCAATAATGATTTTTGAAATCTGCAGTGATATCTAAAGCTGAACTATAATCCATTACTCATTAAATGTTTCAGTGTTTAGGAAATTATTTTAGTAGCATGCCTGTGAAAAAAAAAGTAATTTTTTTTTAAAATAAAGATATTTTCTATCATCAATATATGAAAAATTATGTAAGGCATGTAATTATTATCTATGTAAAATTTCCTTACTTTCTGTTCCATTCAAATTTAAAAACCAAATAGAATGATATAAAAATGTCTCCCTCATAAACATTTTCAATATTTTGTAATGTTTTAGCTAGAGCACCTATAAAAGGCATAATTTTGTTTGTTTGAGGTAAAGATTGCCAAATTTTACTCATAAATAATCCATTTTGGAAATATGGCCATACAAAAATCAAATAAATCATGTGCTGTTTCAAAAATTTAAGCAATAATTTGCATGATACTAAAGTACTTTGAAAGGGGATCTTAATGGGTTCACTGTGCCATAATTCATTGCAATTACACAATAGAAATTTAATAATAAATGAAAATAAAGAAATATAATTTTTTTAGATTCAAAATTAATTGTAGTATATTTTGTATAATATCATGCTTTTAATTGTAAGCATATATATTTTCTTGAAGTCTTAATTTCATTTTCTTGTGTTTCCTTTAAAACTCAGTGATGATTATGCTATTGTTAGTTCATTTATCAGATGAAGTACCATAGCTGAAAACAAATTTTCTCAAAAACCCAACTGGATTCAATATATCAAAAAATAATTTGCAAATAAAAACAATCTTCAGTAGAATTGTGCATATATCAAGACATATTTTAAAAATCAATTGTTCTATCAATCTATCCTATCAATTTTTCTTGATTTTTATGATCAGTTGTTGATTGGCTTTGTCAGATATGTGAATTAAGTGAAAAAATGAAAGTATTAGATTTGCTAATTATTGTATTTTATAGTAAGTAAAAACAAGTTGAAAATGTAATTGTAATTTGTTTGTATTCAAAATTAATATTTTTTTGTATTAAGACTGCATAAATTGACTAAGTTGCTATAATTATTATCTATCTAATAATCTATTTTTAGTAAATATTTTATGAAATTTTAAATATGTCTGACCAAAAGCATTTTACTGAACAGGTTTTCAATCTATTTAAAAAGAGTAATCATAGAGTGAGAGATAAAAAATAAACTTAAGATGTGTTACTAACTGGATAATAGATATTTACAATGGTGTATCAAAAAATAGCAAAAATGTGTCATTCTTGCAAAGAAACAGCTCTCTGAATTGAGAAAAAGTAAGGAATCAGGTTAACAATCTGAAGAAAAAAAGGATTCAGAGAGTATTGATGTAGATTAAAATTTCATTCCTAAAGTCTGAAGTTATTAATCGTTCAATGTCTCATTTCATCAGTTGAAAAATACATGGAATTCAAAAATCACCTTAAATCACAGAAAATAGGGAATTAAGAATTTTAATTTACAAGCTTGTTAAATGCACAGAATTTCGTTTCATATTTTCATCTTTTAAAAAATGATGACCACTCAAAGCGTAATTTATGGGATTTTTAAGGAGGATATTTCAGTCATACTATACTATTTTGTTTACTATAGCATTATTTAAGTATGTTCAGCTATTCCTTTTTCTCTCTTAAGTTTTTCCAGCAGTTAAAACTAGTATAGTTAGCCCAATATTGCTCACACAAGAGCACATTGTTTCCTCTTAATATATTGTGTATAATATGTATAGGGGAAACAGAGAATTTTTTTTCCCAGATTTGAGGGGCAACCCTGATTTACATCTTCAGATTTTTATGGAGAGGAATTTTTTATTCGGGATTATGTGCTTTTTTATTACAAATTTTCTTGGGTAAAGTGCTTTAAGGTTCTTTTTTTTTTATTTTTGTTTTTTAGAAGCCCTTAAAGGTGCTTTTTTCATGGGGTGTTTTTAAAAAGTGCTTAATTTTCCCTTTTCGGAAACGATACTTTTTCTTTATGGTGTTGATTTTCACCACGTATTATGCAACAGTGTGCTTTTCATATAAGCTAAACTCAGTGGTGCGACATTCCATAGAGGGCCAGGGCCTACTGTGCCCATCTCAGTTTTCTTGGGCTCTGGGGTGCATGAGCAGATGTTCCAGTCAGGTGGTCATCCAAACACGGAACCCCCAGTGTTTAGTTCCCAAGCGTACTTGGTACTCATTTATCGACCCACTGAATGGATGAAAGGCTGAGTCAACCTTGCCTGGGCCGAGGATCGAACCCACGACCTGTGGTACGGGAGCGCGAAGCGCTACCGCTCAGCCACCGTGCATCGTAGTTCTATACGCCCGGTGGCTGAGTTCTATTCATATAGTTCTATTAAATGTTTTCACAATCCATTTTGGCATACTGTCGGTTCGTAATGTATGATAGCACCAATCATGTTACATATTTGATGAAATACTTGAGAATCAGCATTTGCGCCTACTGAGCCAAGTGTGGTGAGATTCTTGCTCTCTTGTGTGCAACTCTGTTTCCTTTACTACCGTCTGTTATCGAACCGAAAAACCTCTTGATCTTTTTATTATAGTTAATATAATCTAGAAAAGATTTATTTGTCAGAAACTGGTTATTTTGTCATGATCATGTAAAGTCTATGAAAATTATTTTGCATTTTGTTGAAGTATATAGTGCTTAAAAATACTTTGTTAGTGCTTAAAAAATGCTTATTTTTTGTTAATAGATTTGGCTACGCACCCTGAAGTAGTTTCCAAAATTCTTGATTTATGTCTTTCATGTTATTTTAGAAATCATCGATTCTATTCTACAACACAATAATCATTTATAATTTTTTTAATCGTGATTTGAGAGAACTTCAACTGAATTAATTTTGTATAAAAATGTATAGCAGCATTATTCGCTGTTCCCTTCTTTAACATTATTTGATTACGAAAGACTTCTCTGTTACAAATTTTACTAAATATTGCCTAATTGATAATGTTTTTTTTTTTTTTTAATGCAGCAGTACCATTAAAATCTTCGATACCTTGATCTCAAATTTTTATAAGTTGTTCAATGCTCCATTAATAAAATAAAACTGAAAGTTTCTGTAACATTCTCTTCTAAACAAAGTAGTTCAGTAATTGAAAATATTATTTGTGATAAGATTTGCCTTTATTATACTTCAGTAGTGCAAATAATATGTTTTTTAGTTAGTCATTTACCTTTTTTAATCTGGTATTTATTGTTCCAAAAATTGTTCTAATTTTGATAATTGAAATGATGATTTGAAAAATAGTGTCCTGATTTTTTCTTTTGCCCACTGCAAAGCCTGTAGAAAGCACGCATTTTGCAAAAAGTAAGATAAAAAAAGATTAGACTGCAGTGATACATAAGCTTTTTACCAAAGTTGGAAACTCTTCAGATAGGATACTGAGAAACCCAAAGAAGCAGTTTTAAAAATATCTTAAAATTCAGTTTTCTTGTTCCACCTCTAATGTTAGAAAAGTGATGATACTGACCTGCTTATCCAAGTCTTATATTATACGGAAACTTATGTAAGAGTTTAATGAATGAGTGAAATCAAGAACATTTAAAGATAGTTTGATATAGAAATCATGCTCTTTCTTTAATTTTTTATTTTTATAAAGAACTTCATATTGTACAATTAAATAAAATTTGACTGAGTGGGGATTTTATTATAATTTCAGATTTGTTGCAAAATAATTAATATATGTGCTCATTCGATCTTAAATGTATGTAGTGTATTGATCTTTTTTTTTCTGCAATAATTGCTACGAATTTTAACTTGTTTCTTATTTATTCTAATAATTTTTTTTAAAATTAATACTATCATTATTTATTTATTAATATTATTACGACGCGCAAAAAGTTAAAATCGTTGATTCAAGAAATCTCTCTTCGGTGCTCTCGGTTTAGCACTTATTGTTAAAACAATTGTTTTGCAGATGATTGTTTTTTTTAGGGTTATTTAAAAATGTTTTTCTTTTTTAGAGAATCTACTAGTTCAACTCAACCGGAAAATATTGAAAGAGAAATGGGAGAGGTTAGTATCTTTAAAATAATTATTTTAACCTCTTTATTAATTGCACAGTGTTGACTTTTTTTTCTTTCGAAATTGAATTCTTCATCGTGTACTCTAACTGTAGAGATATTAATGCTGTTTGTAAAATAATAGTTTAAAATTTTAAATAGTCATAGTAAATTTCCACATAAGTTAGGGCTCACCTGAAAATTTTTCTATGAACTGAAAAATAATGCATTTTCTCTCCAATAATTTAACTCTTAAGTTCATTAAATTGATTGTAAAGCATCACTGAAAATGAAAGCCATAATTAAAAAAAGCAGATCAAAAATAAATATTTTCTATTTTACCAATTTAAATTGTCTTTAAAAAGTTTGGCACAAATTATATTTATTCTGAGAAAATAGATTACAAAATTTTAATACATAATTGATGAAGTACTTTGTAATTCTAACCACGTACTGTAATACTTTCCTTTGTAATTCTCGCATTATTCATACCTCATCGATAGTGATCTAGAATTTTAATTAAGACTTATTTTCAAATTTTGACTTCCATATTCCTAAAATTTCTTGGTGCTTGAACTATTTTTACTTAGTCATTGTGAATGAAATAAAGCAACCCCAAAGGATTCTTAATGACATCTGAAAATAATACAACCTAGTGTAATTTAAAATCTTTGTCTGTCAACTCCTGTGACTAAACTTTTGCAAATAAAATCCGTATTTAATTTTTACTCTTTTAATTTTTTAGTTCTCACTTTTTTTTACTTCAGATCTTTTGTTCTTAATTTTGACTTGTTGTTCAAATTGGCTTTCCACTACAACCATTTTTTTTAGTGTCTGCTTATATAGGATTTTTGTTCATGTGTTTATAATGTTTTTTTAATGATATTCAGACTGTATATTTTATTTGTAGATAATAGAAAATTCACCAGAAGTAAAGTATGAGCCAAGAAAAATAAACTTTCCAGGTAAGTGTTACGTAGAAGAAAGTTTACAAATTATTAAATAAACTTTTTTGAAAGTAATATCAAAATTACTCTGAATAAATATTTTTAAACCAGAATATGTAGTTTCCTTATCCTCTTGAGCAATTTAATTGTTATCTATGGCTGTAGTTTTTCCCAATCGTATAAATATAGAATTTGCTATTAACTATGCTATGATTCAAGTGAATTACTCTCAAATTGTAAATGGTATGGTAGAAAATAAATGTAGAAGGAAGTTTTCAGTTGGTAGAGATTCCTAAAATTTTTTTATTGTTGCTATCTACTGCTGTGTTACTAAAAAAGTAACTTCTTAACAAGTTTTTTCACTCTTCCTTTATTTGTAAAATTTATATTACGAACGAAAAGAGCTTGAGTGTTTCAAGTTTACTGCAAGTGGATAAATGTTTTTTTTTTTCCTTCCCTTTTTATTTCAGTTTTTTTGTAGAATTGAGCCAATAAAATAAAAACAATAATCTTCCCTTCAACCTTGATTAAGAAGTAACTATTTTGAAACAAATATGAATATGTTATAAATTTTTTCTCGTTATTTTTTAACTACTGTAGATAAATTTAAACTTAAATTATTAAGTAAAATGTGTAAAAAACAATTTTTTTTTATTTATGATTATATAATTTTTTTTAAGGTCGAAAATTGAGCAGAAAATCTTCTGAGGATCAAACCTGCAGTGAACCTAAGTCTAAAAAAAGCAAATGGGGAAAATTTGCTTCTTCTCAAAAATCATCACAAGCTATAAACATATCAACAGACTCTTTAAAGGTATGTCTTTCTTTCTCCCCCTTCCCAGGCTTTATTTTTTTTTAATAAATGCTAGTTCAAGTCGTAGCTCTGTGGTGCTTTAGTGTTATTTTCGTTTCTTCATTCTTCTTTTTCAAATACCATTTCTTGCCAAAATTGATAAAAATCTTTTTTTTTTTTTAATCACCTTTTTTTATTGCATTTTTTTTTTTTTTTTACATGTACCAATCAAAGCTCTAATAAAATACATAAATGCTTAATATTATTTTTCTTAATACTTTTAACTAAAAATGCTAAAATTATTATGTAATTATTACAAGTGAACCTCTAAAAAAAATAAAAATCATAGCTGTTTTTTTTATTCATGCTAAATACTGTAATGAATTTGTAAAGAAAAAGGCCAAATGTGTCAGTTAGATATTAGATAAAGAATAAATTAATTTTGATCATAAAAGCATTAAAAAAAATTTGATTATTCGAAATTACTTTTAGCAGATTAAGTCTCTTTTACTTTTTATGTGCATAAACTACTTGATATAGTTAAAGTATGTTAAGTAAAAAATTGCCTTACTTTGTTTTTTTATTATTTTTTGGTCTATTTTGAACATCAAATGTTATAAACATACATGCATTACATTCTCATTACTCTGGGTAATGTCTTTAATATCAATGCGATGAAACTCTAAATATATATATATTTATATATATATATATATATTACTTGCATCAAAGATTCTTTTTCAGAAAAAAATCAATTGATTTAAATCATGCCAACCCCTTTTTTGCACCATTTACTTAGACGTTTGTTGCCTTGTATCCATTATTGTAAGCTTTTACCTTTGGCAGAACAGTTATTTTCTCATGCCATTTAACCTTTCTAAACATTAAACAGTTACAATTGAATATTGTTTAAAATCCGACTGAAATAAAAACTGAGGTTATAATTTTGATTAATAACATAGATTTAATAATTTGTATTTTAATTACTATACGACGTTACTGCTAAAATTTGGCTTGCATATGATCAGATTTGTCATTGACATTGATTGATAATCTATCAGCTATGTTATAAAGTAATTAAATTTAACCTGTCCACCTCGCCCCCTTAAAGTGCATTGATTCATAAAATACCATTAATAAAATGTTTAGGTTTTACTGTTTATTTTTAAAAACTACTGCATTTTCTAGACGTGAATGAAGCTATTTTTTTAAAAAATTTAAAAAAAATTGTCAATGATCCATCAAATTCTTCAGTCAGATTTTTTTCACTTTATGTTAAGTATCAAATTATTTATTATAGTCTTATAGTGTAATTATGATACATTGTTTTTATATTTGTCAACAAATTAATTTAGAGATATTGAAATGTTCTACTTTTGTTAAACACCAATAATTACTAATCAGAAATAGTTTACATAATGTTTCATGTGTATATTTTTTTCATTAAAAGATAACTTCAGAAGTTATTATTAATAAATGAGCCTTAAAAAAACTTTTAAATTTCCAAAAATAATTTTAAATAACAATTATTTTTTCTTCTTTTTAGAATTGGTTTCCAGAATTTAAACTAGTAAGTGAGCCATCAGTAGTCAATGATTCAATACCTGAAGAGTCACCTCCCATTAAAGACGAAAATAAGTTATCTTTTCCCCTGAAATCTGAAGAAGAATTGAGTAAATATTTTTTAAACATATTATTCTTGATTTAAAAGGGTTAGGTTTTTGACATGAGAACAGTCAAAAACTGGTCAATTGATCAAAATCTGACTACAAAAAAAAAATAATAATTTTTTACACTATGTTTAAAATTTTACTTTATAAATATATACTAACATATAAATATGTACTCTATAAAGATAATATACAAACACATGCTATTATTTTTTAATTGATATGTAATTATAATTGGTAATCATATTAAATTAGAAATTATAGTTCTCTGCCGCAGACACCGTAGATTTTACTTTATTTTCATATTTTATTTTATTTTATTTGAAAATTCTTTTTTAAAATCAGTTCTAAAAATACATCATAAGTTTTCATTAATAATTAAGTACTTTCATTGCAATTTTATCATTAGTAGCATGGATCTAGTATTTGTATGATAATGTTGCCTCCATCAAGTTTTACTTAAAAGTTACTTTTAGCTGTGTGCAGAGGAAGAGTGTTAAGTTTACTCATTTATTTTTCTAGTGTATTCAACAATGATTTTAGTAAATTTAATTGTAAGAGCCATTTAGTCTTTCTTCAATGTTTTCTTTAAAAAATATGCTTCTAAGCAAAGTTGAAAGTCTTACAATTTTCTGCTTATGAAGCTAATTAAAAAGGAATTACAATTTCATCGTCTTATCTACACATTTCTGACTTTTCCTCCTTGTTTTGTGTGTTACTGGATATATTGTGAACTAATCATAGCTACTCTTACATATTTTTGTAAGGAAAATCTTAGATTATAGGATCCAGTTGTACCATAAATTGTTTGACATTAATTTTAGTTAACTTCTGATGATGAATAAGACCAGTGTCCTTGTTGTATCTAAAATAAGCTTCCTTTGCCTGTCATGCTTAGTGTTTGGTATTTTAATGTTATCATATTTATATTTTCTTTTTATTTCAGCTAAACAATTTTCAACCGATATTAGTCATCAAAACAATGATGAACCTTTAGAAGCAACTGACTCAAGTGGACCTATTTCAAAAATAGTTTTTATTCAAAACTTAGTTCGGCCCTTTACATTGCTTCAGTTAAAAGATCTGTTAAGGCAAACAGGCAATTTTATAGAAGATGATTTTTGGATTGATAAAATTAAATCTAAGTGTTTTGTCACAGTGAGTATTCTATTTTTTACTCTAACATAAATCTAAATTTTTTTTTAATTTTGACATTATGTAACAAGTTGTAACAGAAACAGGTCTGGTATAAAACATTTTATTGATGAAATTTTTGTAATGAGTTTTTTTGTGTAAAAGAAACGAAGAATTTTTAATATTTTCAATCGATTTCTTGATGTTAAAAGAAAGTTTTTATTTAAAAGTACTTGATGTGCATCAAAGATTTAAATAAAAAATACTTAATGCAAAAACAATTTTAATGAATTTTATATTAAATAAGTAAAAATATTTAATGTAAATGAATTTTAGTACTAGTTTTCATTGTAGTGTAATTTAGTTTGTTGCAAGTGCTGAATTTTTGTTACTTTATTTTATTTTTATGAACATTTTGTATCTTTTAATTTTAGTATACAACTGAAGAGGAAGCTATCAAAACTCGGAATGCTCTAAATGGTGTTAGATGGCCTTCTTCAAATCCGAAGATCTTAAGTGCAGAATTTAGTACTGAAGAAGAGGTGAAACATTTAATCCTTTTTAAAATACTTATATTCTAATATGTAATGCAATGGTAACATACTCTCAATACATACTAGAAATTAAAACCTGTATATTTTTTTGCATTTGATGATTAAAACTTAAAATTTTATTCTAGTTTGAACATCATCGTAGTGGTAAAGATGCACAGAAACCAGTTGTTGAGCGTTTACCAGAAGTGCAGGAAACTTATGATGAAAAAACTTCTCCACCAGTTGGTGATAATCGAAGAAAGGACCGGGACAGTGATAAAAGAAAAGAAAGGGAACGTTACAGACCGCAGGCTCCCGTGCGTGAATGGGATAAAGATAAAGTTCTACAAGATTCTCCTGATAGAGAAAAGTCAGATAAAAATATTGAAGGGTATAGAGGATCTGATAAAAAAGATAAGAAAGGTGAAAAAAGCTTAAAGTTTTATCATAACTTTATAAAGTACTTCAGTCTATAAAAAAAAAATTAACATTGAGTTTATTAATTTTAGATACTAAAAAGAGGGCAAATGAAGACACGCCTGCAAAACTGCTTGATGATTTGTTTCAAAAAACCAAGTCTATACCTTGCATTTATTGGTTGCCATTGACAGAAGCTCAGGTAAAAACAGTAACAATCGAACTACTTTTTTTTTTTTGGTATTATATATAAGATTATAGTTATGTTTAAAAAGATACTTAAAAGTTAAGGTTAAAGGGATGGCAAGTTCTTTCCTCAGTGAAATACGTAAAAAACCAACCTAGAAGAAATGTTTCTTTCAACCCAGGTGAAGAAAACGCAAGAAACTTCTTTTAAAGAGAAATATTTAAACAGTTTGTAATTGCAATCTAGTTTGAATAATAGTGTTGATTTTCAAGCTGCTTAACTATTAAATTATTGAAAAACGAGAAAAAAAATTGACCGAATTCTTAAGAAAATAAAGTAACTAGATTTATAATATTTATTTTGTAAATGATTATAGTGAAACCTAATATACAATTATATAAATAACTGCTAAAGCAACTTAATAAAATTTTATCAATGTTACTAAATTAACAAATTTTATGTAACATATCTATACTGCTAAAAATTACGAATGTAACATATCTATTTGCAAATTACGAATGAAATACCAATTTTTAATCAAAAACTGTAATGTTATGAATACTGCAATCGGCCCTTAAATAATGGTATATCCTCCGAATTAGTTGTTACATTTCATTTTATACTATTCAGTTTATGCTCAACTATTACTGTTTTCAATGAAAGAATATTTGTTCCCATATTGATTCAGGAGTTAATATCTTTTAGAATGGAGTTTAAAAAACGAACATTTGAGAAACTGAACATTTTTACAGTTGTACAGGCACTAAATGCCAATAATTTATTATTAAACGCTCTTCAAAAAGTGTTTGATTGTGGTGTGAGGTGTCATTGCTAAATATTATAATCTAAATTTTGTGCAACTCATTTCATGATGAATTTTATGTTGAAACCACATTTTTTAGGCAAGTTTTTTACTATTGGTTTTGTGTGTCATAGTTCTATCAGTTTGCATACTTGCTTATTTGTGTAGTCAATTTAAAGTTTCTAAAATTATCTAACCTTATAAAAGGCCTTTTACTACTATTGATACATGTTGAAAGGTTTAATCTGTTTAAAAGTAGAAAAAAAAATTTTTTTTTTCATTTGTTATGTACACCATATTTCTATAGTTATTAGTTAATAGCATATAATCAGATAAATTATACTAATTTTATAATTTCTTGGATTACAATAATTTGCTTAATCAGGTATTGGAACATGAAGAGTCAAAGCGCTTGAGAAGATTAGAACGTGAGAAAAGAAATCAACAAAGGGAAAAAGAAGAATCTGAGCAAAGAAGTAAAAGATCTCGCCTTGACCACAGAACCAGAGAAGTGGTGAGACATATTTAAATTTTCAACTTTAAAGTTTCCAACCGGCTTTCTTTTATAAGAAAGATGATTTTACTTTGAGAATTTGTACATCTAAAAGTCAATTAATTCTTTAAGAATATCTTTTGGTAAAAACAATTTTTTTGCTTAGCTTACGGCTGGTGTAACAAGTGAACCCAAAACAGGCTACATTCTGCTAAGTTCCGTAAGCAAAGGCTTAAATTTGACCAACTTTTTACAAATTCTTTAGTAGGAAAATTATTCTGAATTTTAAAAAAAAAATTTGAAATTTCTTTCAGGGGAATAATAAGCATCCTAAAAATTATAAACCTAAATAACAAAAACTCTTCAAACTATTCTTACATTTAAATAAGAAATTATATTTATAAAATCCATACAATATAAAATTGAGTTAAATTATTGCAATGCTTTCTTTGCTGTACTCATTTGTGATTTTTTTTCTAGATTTTTGATTAAAAATAATTTATTTTATAGTTATATTCATCTTTTGTTTATTACAGGAAAGCCGAAGAAGTTCGACAAGAAGTCGCAGTCCAACATCCAGACGGCGATAATTAATATAATTATTTAAGATAATATATATTAATGAATAAATTTTCTGGCCTCCTGCTTCGAGTTCACTTGATTTAAAAATCGGCAGTTTCAGCATCAGGTATAAAACTTAAAATGAGAAAAATAATTTTTTTTTTCTTTCATTTGCAAATATCATAAGCAACATAGATCAATAATTTTACTCTTAATTTCTTCCCTTATTGGGGGTATTTTTCTAGAAAAACATTCAAGTTATTTTGTTATGTATGAATGCACTTTTGCGTGTTAGTTGTAAAAATTTATGGAAAACCCATAAGTAAGTATGTATTGGAAATGCATGTATGTGAGTGAAAGAAGTATAAATGTTTTTCTTTTAGCCTAACTTTTTAGATAAAGGAGATGGATTATTTTCTTGTAGAAGGAGGCCAGTAAAAGAAATAGTAATTTTTTTTTGTATAGTCCGTCATCTTCCCCTAATCCTTTTGCAGATGAAAGCAGCTCAATGAAAAAGATAACCCTTTAACAGTGGTCACCCCCATCTTGTTACCACACATGTGGGAAGAAGTTATTAAACCTTTGCAAAAATGTATCACTTGAGGGAATGTTGCAGGAGAGAAATAATGTAATAAAGGAACATAGCAGGGATGAAATGTAACACGAGTTATTTCAACATGTGGGAGAAATCGTGCAAGATCTAGTGTGTTGACAAATTTGCACTGAAATAGCATACTCTTATTTGTGCAGTGAAATCACTTTGTACATAGAAATTTGAATTTTCATAAGAATTGTAGACTCCTTTATGCCTTCAGCTGTTTACTACAGATATGTATAATTTTATTCATATGAAAGTTTTAATCAGTTAAAAGAATCTATATGATTTTATTTCATATTTGCCTATCTCATTATCCTGCATAATGACGAATTTTTCAAAGAAACTGTTTAATTGATTTTTTTGGTTTTGTAAAATGAGATGGTCTCTGCTTTACCACAAAATTTATTAAATGTACTTTGAGTATTATGAAAACGTTATTGTTTCATTTCAACCTCTCATTGTAACTGTCATGCTGTTGCTTACATTTTAGTGAAATAAATTTTTGATTGATGGTATATTCTTTTTTTTTTTACCTCAATTGTGGGTTCTTGCACTTCAAGAAGATCACGAATGCATACACATGTGGCTTATGATCTCAACGATAGCCAGGGCCGGATTACCCTATAGGCACACTAGGCACGTGCCTAGGGCCTACGAAAAACTTGGGAGAAAAAATTTTTAAAAAAAAAAATCAAACGTAGTGGAATCAGAAAAACAGTTTTGTTTTTCTGATTCCACTGCGTTTGATTTTTTTTCTTTTCACGATAAATTTCGCACTCAATAAATTCTTTTTATTCATAAATTTTATCATTAGGTTTTTTTTTTTTTAAATTCCGTTGATCTTGCCTTGTTCCAGGTTTTAATATTTATGCTAGTGCCTTTTTTAACTATCGTTTCGGTTCGATAATTTTCAAGTGTTTTGATTTAGATTAATAAGTTTTCCTTTTATTTTATTGTTTCCCCCCGTTTAATTAGGTATGAAATATATTGCGTTATTTAATCATTGGTTTTGTTTATATAAGTTAATTTAGGAATTGTAATTATTTTTAAAAAATAAATATGAGAATTTTGTATTTTTTAAACTTGTTTTTCTTGTCTAAACTTGTAAATTTTTTATTCTTTTAAATGTTATATTTCTACCATTTTTTTTTCTCTTTAAAGTTAGGAGTACCTTTCTTTTTTCTCTTACTTTATGCATTACACTTGTCGGTATTGCAGATAAAGTTCGATAAACAAATTCGTAAATTAAAATCCATATTAATAAAAGTGTAAAAAAAAAATATGCAAGAAAATTTCGGCATATATTTTGAAAAGAGGGGAGGGCCCAAAAACGGCTATGCCTAGGGCCTACGAAAGATATAATCCGGCTCTGACGATAGCTGATAGCTTATAAGCCAAATGATGTGTTGAAGTTCAGCTAAGTTTCTCTACATAACTTAAAATTTTAATTAAATACAGCGCCATATCACACATGGAATTTTTTGAATTATAATTCCTTCTCAGTTACTTCTTTTACTTAGATATATTGCTTAAGTATTTTATTGTAATCACAACATTTATACATTATCAGTTTGTTTTACCTGGCTTTGTGTTAAGAAATGTATAGTGAAAGAATTTAAATCTTTGTGAAAGAATATTGAATGCGTCATTTAAGCTAATTGATACTTGAAATAGAATGAAAAGAACAGTTGCTAGCGTAAACAAATGCCACGTTTCAAGAACTAATTTCAATATAATTTTATGTTGACATATTTCTGCTAAAGGAGAAAAAATAAAGTATAAGAGTTATATGGTTTGGTTACTATGGGCAAAAGTTAAACAGAATCCATAGTATACAATAGAAGTATTAGAACGAAGAATGGTTAAATGTTAAAAATGAAATGGCCTAAAGTAGAGGATATTAAACAGTTATTATTTTAGTGGCTTGCGTTTCGATAGAATATGATAATCTATTTAGTTCAATAAGAAAATTATTAAGATTACAGATGTGTGACAATTATTATTTCTTTTGCTAAACTCAAATGCTTATTAAAAAATTAACTCAAATTGTATATGAAATTAATATTGGTGATTAAAAGAAACACTTAAGTATGAAAAATATTTAATTTTTTTTTCGTTATTATTAAAAATAATTATAATAATTCCTGCTTTTCCTCAAAAATATGCAAAACCCTTATTAATATATAAAATTAAAGAAAAATTACCAGGGAAGAGTTGTACAAAACTGGTAGGTCGTTAAAACTGAACTCGATGAAACAACTGTTGCTATGAAGTATTCACTATAAATTCTTAAATGCTTGAAGAATTATTTTTGATAACACCTCTTTTAGTTATTATTTTATATTGTTTAAAAAAAAAATCTAGCATAATTTTTAAATATTCTTGGGTTGTGTTTTTTTTTTTTGCTGTAAATTTGAATCTGGATCCTTGACAGGGAGCCAAAATTTGGTAATACAAAAGACTTAGCTATAGGCTAAGTCAAAATATCTGGAAGAATGGATTCAGGCCCTCACTTTACAGAATGAGCACATGCAACCTAAAGCAATGAGAAGGTACGTTATCAATATACAGAGTGACAACTCATTCCGGAAACAGGAAAAATCTGCTCTGGGGGGAATATACCCACAATTAGAATTTTTTATGTAAACAATATTTTTTAAAGCTCATCCAGTCCTCCTATTATTATTTTTCTTGTCACCAGTGCTATTTGAAAGAAAAAATTCACTTTTAAAAAATCTTAACCAATAGTTTCTATTTTCTTAGAACATACGGACAAAAATCAATTCAGATCTTTCTAAACCTGTAATAAAATTAATTATAAAATATTTTAATAGAAATAGTAAATGTTTTTTTTTCTTTCTTAATGTGATAGTTTGTGACTTGAAGTAACAATTTTTAATTAAATTTACAATATTTAGTTATAAATTATCAATGCATATTAATATACGGAAATAGAATTGGGACAATTGCAAAGCTTTTCCAATTTTACTCTAAAAATCTCAGAGGTTCGGTTTGTCTGGAGAGTGGCCACTCAGAATATATTATTTGTGTTCCTCGGGGTTGCCACAGACTACTAAACTGCGACTATTTGCTGCTATTTTCGGCCTTAGGCGACTTTTTTTGCCTGAAAAGGCCAAAAATTAGCAACTATTTTCAGGAATAGGTGACTATTGGTAGACTTTTTACTCTTAGCGAAGTTTTTTCGCAAAAAATGAACGATACTTTTCAGAACGTTTATAAAAGAAAGCAAACTTTTATACAATCATTTATGTCCAAAGAGTCAAAAATTTAAATCTCCATTAGATTTAATAAAGTACTTGTTATATTTTCTCTCTGAGGGGGCAGTTTTGTTATTTTTAATTGTTTTTTCCTTCTATTAACATTCATATTTTATTGTAATTAGATTTTTACTTAGGTCGATATCGTGACTTTCGTTTTAGGAGATGCATCAGAAATCTGATTTAAGCCTCCGGAATAAGACTACAATCGCAGTTTAATGATTTAATATGCAAGGATCCTTGACTACGCAAACGCTGTTACCACTGCAGAGATGTAGATAGCGTTTTACTATAAAGATGTTAGTTTCGTGGTGTTGAATGTTTTTAATTATAAAAAAATTAAAACAAAGCTTACCTTTATTTAATTTGCTTTTATTTTTGAGAAAAATAAAAAAAATATTTACAAAAATTTGGCTATTAGTTAAAAAACAAATATTTTTTTTAAAAATTAAATAAAGAGTTAAGTAATGTTTTGATGCTTTTTAATAATTTAACATTAGTACTTACAGTTTTTTTTTAATTTTTATTAAAATTCTTTCAACTAGTGGGCTGTGACCTCTGCTCGCTAAAGCTCGCCAACCCCCGAAAATTGCTACGCAATCTAATATGGTTTGCTTCGCTCGCTACTAACTTAGGTACATTGCAAATGCACAAAATTCTAAGAATTCAAAACAATCATTCAAATCCATATAACAACTTTTTTCAAAAACAAAGTTATTAAAATAAATTTGAATTCAAATAAATGACATGTAATTCATTAAACCTATTAGAAATGTGCTATAGTATAAAATCTTAAGATGAAATTTCTAAAACTGATATCTCTTTAAAAAGGTTAAAATTTTGGCGTGAAAAAAGCGCCTTCGACAAAATACTAAAATAGAGATCTATCGACAAAGACTACTCACTTCTGCCTAGCTTAATAGTATGAGATTGCCGCAGCTGATAGGGTGAATTTCGAAATGCTCTCTCTGGTTATTTTAGTTTCCGTTTTTTAAAGGCGCTATATGTTGAGCCACCTCAACTAGATTTGGCATGTGACATTTTTAACGGCAATCATTGGTCGATTTTTTAGCATTGTCATTCGGGGAGTTGTACTGAGGCTTTTTTCTTTTTTGTCGCCGTGTAAGAGAAATATATATATAGATGCTTGTTTTATAATTTGTTAGATAGTTAGTATCATTTTTAAACTAATAAATGTTTAGTCGATTTATTAAGTACAGAATTTGACCATTAGTTAATACTACTTTTTATTATTTTAAATAATTAAAAGAGGATCTAATGATGTTTCAAAAGCATGGTTTCTTTTTTTTTCCAATAATTAAAAAAAAAAATTTTTTTTTCTTAAGTGAACATTTCTTTGCTTTGTTTTCCACTTTCGTTTTTTTTTTTTAATTTTTAATGCACATTTTGTTACAGTATTATTATTTTTAAACCAATAAATCTTAATTAATTTTTAATTTAAGAAAAATGAAATAAAGCTTGCGTTTGCTTTTACTTTGACTTCTTTATTATTTTAATTGAAAAAAATTAAGCAATGATGTCATAGTAGAATATGTTTAGAATTAATATTTTCTTTTGTAATAGATTTATTCCTTTTTAATTATTTTTGATTGATTTAAAGATTTACCATAAGTAATTTTTGAACATTTGCTAAATCGCGATGTATCACGATTTAAAATTTCAGGCATCACCCAGTCCTAATTATAGTATTTGACAATTAAGCTATAATCTATATAATATATTACTCTTACAACTCCCCGAATGGCAACGCTAGAAAATCGACCAATGATTGCCACTACAAATGTCACATGCCAAATCTAGCTGAGATGGCTCAACGTATAGCGCTTTTAAAAACGGAAACTGAAATAACCAGAGAGCATAAGCTAGGCAGAAGTGAGTAGTCTTTGTCGATAGATCTCTATTTTAGTATTTTGTCGAAAGCGCTTTTTTTTTCACGAATTTATTTGACGATTTTTTATATATATCACGAATTTATTTGTTTATGCAGGTTTTTCCGTTGCAATTCACTTATTTCAATTTTTAATAGACTTAATTATAGCCAAAATTTTAACCTTTTTAAAGAGATCAGAATTGGAAATTTTATCTTAAGATTTTATACTATAGCACATTTCTAATAGGTTTAACGAATTACGTGTCATTTATTTGAATTCAAATTTATTTTAATAACTTTGTTTTTGAAAAAAGTTCTTATATGGATTTGAATTCTTAGAATTTTGTGCATTTGCAATGCACCTAAGTTAGTAGCGAGCTTGGTTTGTGAAGCAAATCATATAAGATTGCGTAGCAATTTTCGGGGGTTAGCGAGCGGGGAGCGCAGCCCATTAGTTTTAGTTATTTGGCTACTATTTTTTATAAATTTTCGTTCCTGTTCAGGGAACTATTTTAAATTTTTTACTGTGGCAACCCTAGTGCTCCTTGATTTTAAAATCTGTGTAGAAAGTTCATTATATTATTTAAATGCTTTAAAAAAATAGTTCAGTGGTAGCATTTTTTCTCTTCCTTCAGCATCCTGACAGATCGGAATAAAAATGTTTAAAAAAAGTACCAGCATTCTTAGAACTAATCAACTACCTTTAAAAATATTTATTTTTTAGACTAAGGTATATTTATCTTCTGAACTAAAATAATTGAAACAATTTTGTTAACTTAGCTACTGAGGATTTTGGCCGACCTTCCCCAATATGGTTTAACCCACTGGCGGTTTAGCGAATGGGCAAAATTAGGAGAATGTTTCTCCCAAATACACTATACCCCAATAAAATAACAAAAAAATCAGTTTGCTTTGTGAAGAAGACTGTGGGTTAAAATGCGACTTTTCACATGCCGAACCGTCGAGTTGGTTAAATTATTTACAACACTATTCATTCTATAGAAAAGAAATAGATATTGTAGTTTTATACAAACTTTTTTTATTTTACAAGTAGTGACTAGAATAATATAAAATATAGAAAAATTTTATAAAATCTTTTTAAAAAATAACATTTTCAAATTAAAACTGGGTTTTTTCACCATAAGTATGATTTTGTAAGATTGCTTTAACATCTTCCAATAATTTTGAATTTTTGCCACAAACTGCTTGCCATACTAATTCCAGCTGAGATAGTAATTTTCTGAAATTATAAAAATTATTTTATTGAAAAGATTATCGTGATTATTTAAATTCAACGACAAAAATATCACTATAACTGAATATAGTAAGAAGAAAAATCAAATTTTTATTTATCAACATTATGAAACCAGGCACAATTAATAAAACTTCAATGATGGCAATTTTCAAATAAAAAAATGTTTTGTTCTGATTTTCAGTTTTTTGTCTTGATCTTTTGTGTGTCCAGAACTTATCATTTTCTTAGAATGCAAATTCGGATTTTTAAAAGTAGTTTTGAAGAATTCGGACTTACGCTCCAATATCTTTTTAATTTAATTAATAATATTTGTATAAATCGCAATATTCGATAGCATCAATTTTAGGACTGTCTCATTAAATACATGACACTGGCATATATCCGTACCCATAGGAATTATTGTTTAAACCCTTTTGGAAATTCATTCATTCCCTGAAAAAGAAACTTAAAAAAAATTTTTTTTCAAATTTTTAAGGTGATGAATTAAGAACTTATTTATTAGTTTAAGAAACTGCCGTAACAAATCTCATAGGGTGGACTGTAGTTGTTTATGATTATTTTGTCTCTTTCATGTGAATATAAAAATAATAGATTCATCCAGTAATCAAAACATAGAACATTGAAGGATCATCATTTAAAACTACTTTTGTTCAAAAATCATAAGTGGCAAACTGATTCACTACATTTTCATTTATTAAGGAAATCTTGAACGAATTAGAAATTGGTATGAGAGACTATTAACCAATTGATAGTATTTTTTTTTTTTTTAATGCAACAGTATTATAATTTTTTATGCATTGATTTCACACTATTATGAGTTGTTCAGTAGTGATTAAATTATACTTAGTGTTCTAAATCAAGCAATTCTGAAATTAAGAATAGTATTTTATTTTTTTAAAGGTTGTCAGATCAATTTATTATTGCATAAAAAAGTGAAGCACGGATAATCCACTTGTAGATAATCAGGAGTTTACTGTACATTGCATTTAAAACTTCAAAGTAAATAAGTCAATACACATGAAAGAATATGCCTATTAATCAGTTCTAATGAAGATGAAGTATTAATTAATGAAACGTGGGAATAGTGGACTTTTTGAGAAGGTAGATGAGTCCTTTTTATGATCAGAGCAGACGACCGTGCCAAGAGAAACTTGAAATTGGCAATAACGAAGTCATTTTTTAAGGAGTTGCAGCAGCTCTATCTCTAAAATTACAGATAATAATTTTTTCTTCATATTTGATATCAACAACCTCAATATAACTAGCAACAAAAAAATATTTTTCAATAGCCGCTGCAAACATATTTTTTAACAAGTGATCCAGTCAATTTTCATAAATGGAGCAGATAAAAATAAAAGGGTTCATATATGAAATAGGTATAAATAACATATCTAGTACTAGAAAAAAATATCCATATTAGACAAACTGTCACTTTTAGTTTTATCAAATTACTTAATACAAATTAAAGCAGAGAATCGTGAGATACAAAAAGAAAATTGGAGTTTTTTAAATAAATTTTTTTTTATTGCCTTAGTTACATTATCCACTTTACAAATGGCAATGTTTCCAGCTTAAAAAAGAGTTCATTACAAAATAAATAAAAAATACTTTTAAAGACAAGGCATTTTTTAGCAAAATTCTATGAACTTTTTCTTATAGCTCTAGCCTTATCCACTTTAAAAAATAAAAAATGACGAAGTTTCTACTGTGAAAAATTCACTGTATATAATATGCAGAAAACTTATTAATACAATTTACAACAGAATTTGACAAATTTAAATTAATCATAAAATCTTTTTTTTTTTTTTCATTTTAAACTAAAAGTCAAAATTAAAATATAATGAAACAGAAAAAAAGTTTTACCTGTTTTCATTTTCCAATTCATTAATTCTATTATTTTGGGCAACTATTTTTTCTCGTAGAATATCAAATTGTTTCCCGTATATATTTTCCAACTTCACATCTTGTTGACTTTTGCTTTAAAAATAATAAATTTTATTTAATATAAATAAAATTTTATTTAATAATCAAAAATTATAAATGCATACTTTGTTCGTAGTGCCATTAATTCCTCATGATTTTCCTTGTACAAGTTCTACATAAAAAATAAATAAATAACTTGATAAATATAAATACTAATCAACCACATTAAAATAATAAAAGATGATTATGAAAAAAATGTCTATGTCATAAAAACAATTTTAAATAAATTTACTCATTGCACTAATGACTATATTAGTAAATATGAAAGGTTTTGATTTTTTTTTTTTAATCTATACTTTTTAGCCAATTAGTTAAAGAATATGTTAATGTTCTTAAGTCACCTGTTTTCAAATCATTTTATTGAAATACACAGTGGATTGAATGTGTGTTCTTTGATTACTAGTTACTGCTGACTATTTTTAAGTCTGAAAGTTGGTCAATTTTGCACTGCATGTCGCAACTTTGGCGTCCAGCAGCCGAAGGTATAGCCAAGGCCCCAATTCTTTTGTTTACTTTCACTATCAATTCTCGCTGAACAAAGTATAGCTAGCTCATAATTTTTGTGTTTCTCCTGATAATTATTCTGCAAAATTTTTTTATGTAGTACAATTTAAAATATAGCTAAAATACACTATAGATGTCCAGAAACTTGATGTGTCAGACGCGCTAGTGCATGTTGGTCCTTCCATAGGACATAGTTTGAACAGCCCTAGTATCAAAACTTTAATTTTAGCAATTAAAATTGCTTTGTTTAAAAAAAAAAATCTTAACAGTTCTAGACATACATTTAAAAAATGATTTTATCAACATCATTTAAATGCAACTTCTACTAAGGTTTTCAACCGTAAAAAAAAAAGTATTTTCAACACAAGATAATGGCACTTTTTATACATCTTTAATTTTACGATTTTAAATTTTGCGACATACTTATTTTTCTTTGCTTTTTATAAAAAGTGACATTACTAAACCTACTGATATATGTTCTTGTAATCTCCCAATGTTTAAACTATAATCAATTACAGAAGTGTGTATTTCTTTATGCTGGTGGTCTTGAAAGGAAGTCTAAAATAAAATAAAAATTGAATTTTCAGTCATGTCATATGAACTATAAAAGGATAATTATGCTGTTGAAAAGCATTTTACCTTTCTCATTAGAACATTTCTTTCAATCGCCAAATTCTCTGTCTGAAATAATCATGAGAATAATTGATTTATTGAAATATATTTGTAAAAAAAAACTATATTTTGTTAATTATAAATTAATATTACTTTATCCTTAAAAATCAGTTAATTAACGAGTGGTGTTTCTTAAAATATAAAGGCAACACATAAAAAAATTTGGTTAGTATATTAAATTAAATTTATATGGCAGTTTTATTATTTTATTTAATAAAAAGTTATAAAATGAATAAATAACTATAAAAATGCAGTAGAAGATCTTTATAACGCAAACCTTGAAATTTGGGGCTTTGCATTTTATGGAATATTGTGTTAGAAAGATAATTTCACTTATCTTTAAACTTACATACTAAATATGGCAATGCTCAGATCAATCTTAAAATGCATTAAAATAATTTTTAGATACAAAATCTTAAAAAACAGAATCTATGCACTTAAGTATTTATTATTAACAACAACAACAAAAATGTACATTTTCTGCAGCAATGGAGCAAACAAATTAATCATTTAGTTTATTTTATCTCTTAGCATATAATTAAATAAAGTAAAAGAATTAATAGTTCTTCATTAGCTATAGAAATTCTATGTGAACAATGTGGCATTGCATATGAACTTTTAAATCATTTATATATAGAGGTGTGGAAAATAAGTTTAAGTGAATAAAAAATAATACATTAAAACAAAAGCATAGCTACCTCTAGAATAAATTTTTGATAAAAGCGTAGAAAGTTGGCAGCCCTGACTAAATAATAATGTGATAGGTAATATTTTAACATAGATCATAAACTAGTACAAACATTTAGTGTCATTGAAATCACGGAGATTTATAATAAGTACAAATAAAAACACATAAAACTGGGTACCTGAATCCTAAATAATTGTAAAAAAAACAAAAACATTCATAGTTATTTAACAAAATAAGACAACATTTATTCTCAATGAAATTTTAAATTAAAATTGTTAATTTGAAAATGTAATAATTACCACTTTTAAGAGGGACAAAAGCATTCCTTGCATATCTTTCTCCATTTGCTTTGATTCATCAGCCTGCTCCAATAGATTTCTTTTATCTTCTTCTAGCTCTTGATTTGTTTTTTCGAAAGATTCCACTTTTTTTTCTAATACAACTGTTTTATTTTGAAGCTCTTTTATATACTTCTCCAAAGCATTTTTGGATTCTTCAAGATCCTATAAAAGTACTAATTTAAAATTTAATGCCTAAGATTACATTCAATGTGCTATTTAAGAAACTAATAACATTTATATCAATGTATAAATACATTTGTCAGATTTTTGACACAGGCTCTTCACGGTAATGGTTGTTTCTATGGTAATAACAGTCAAAAACCTTGGAATAACATCATTATGGGAAAAATAGCATGGTAAATTGCGAATTTTTGTAAATTTCTTTTTTAAAGAATAAATTAATCAATCGTGCTTTTCTTGTTTTAAAATTTTATTCACTCCTTATGTAAAAACTTAATCCCTATTATTTATTTTTGAGTTAAGAACTGATATCCTTTTTAATTTTTGTTTGAATGCATGCAAAACATGCGTCACTAAACAAAAAAAAAAAAAAAGCTAGCTAGNAAAAAAAAAAAAAAAAAAGCTAGCTAGTAACTAAAATAATTTCTGCATTTTTTTTTATTTTTTCCCTAACAATATAATATTAAAAATGTTACTTTGACGTACATAATAACATAAAAAAAGCATACATGTAGCCAGGGCTCGAAAAAACTCAAAACTTTTACCCGTCCCCGAGGACGGCTTGTCCAACAATGTACCCGTCCTCCTTTGAAACGAACCCGTCGCTTCTAAATAAATAAAAATATAATTTTCTCTTATTTATTACAAACATTTATATAAATTACACAATGAATTAGTAGTTACTAGGATTGCATTATACAGTAATAAAAGGAATACTAGGTTACTAATAGGAACCCAGTATTTCTTTTATAAAATAATTTATTTCTTTTATGATATAATTTCTTTCTTTTATGAAATAATTTAAATAACAAATGTCAAGTTATCTGGAATGTCAATTTATCCGAGGGTACTGCGTTTTTTAAATGAATCAAATATAACGTTTGCCAGTCCCACAATCAAGCTAATGATTTACAGAAGTTTCTGCACAAAAATCTGAAAGGGGTTTTCCATTTAGGTAGATGTTCATAATTGCGTTTAACGCTTCTTGTTTAAGACCAGTACGTAATGTTTTTTTATTTTTTGTAAGTTCGTTGCTGAAAAGTCCCTTTCAACCGCTGCAGTACGGGAGACAGAGAAAACATCAATTCCACCATGCGCAGTATGTTGCTGTATTTCTAGATCAGAGGGTCATTTTAAAAGTGAGGCGCTAGACTCTTGTAAGATAACAAAAATTGAAAATGTATCACGAACATTAACAGGAAAATGGCCGTCCGCGCGGACGTCGGATTCGAGAAATTCGTTGTCCGCAGGGATTTTTTGACTGCCGAGAACGGATGGGTGGTTTTTCGAGCCCTGCATGTAGCAATCATTTTGTCCTGGATGGTAGTTAAGAATTGATGGATTTGTTGAAATTTGTTCATTATTATTAGCTATTAAATATTTACAACTGTTTTTTTTACTCTCACAGAGAAGTGACATCAGTTTACAGTGTCTATTTTTGTTTGGATTACAAAGGTTGTTCCATCGAACATGAGTTATATGCTAATGTTAGTTGATATACACAAAATTATTCCTTAAATTTAAATAAAAACCTTATAAAATAGTAAATCATCTACAAAAATACAATAACTTTTCTAATAATTTTTTTTCAAACAGTTACAGAAATAAATTAAAAGTACTAAATAAAAAAAACAATCAATTTATTTGAGAACTTGTAAATAACTGAACAGCATGATATACTGATTCATTGCCAAAGTACAATACATAATAATAATAATTACAAAAATATTCTATAAAATAAAAATAAAGTTCTTGCTTTTAAAAAATTTTCATGTAAGTTTCAATATTTTTTATCTTTTCAAACATTTTCCAGCAGCGGAAAATTTTTATATGAAACAAACCAAAGGGAGAAAATTAATAACTTATTACGTTGAATAGTTGAAAACTTTTACATATTGAGTGATTGTTTTCATTTTTTAGGTGTGATATATTTGAGCTAGTTCATAAGAACGTTATAAAGCATTAAAGAAATTTTTTGAACTTGATTTTTAATATAAAAAAAAAATACATCTTTAAATAAATTTTTACGACATGAAACAAAATCAATGTTAATTTAAAATTAAACAATTTTCATTATGTGTAGTAAAGTAATTTTGTGGCTGAACTATTTCAAATATCTTGGGGGGGGGGTGGAAAGTTTTGTAAAGGAATTTATATAATTCATGTATAGAGGTCCTAAACTTTAACTTCATAAGTCAGTTACAGTTTTTAAAAATAGGACAAATTTTTGCATGTGACTTTTTTTCAACATGGTAGTTGAAGGTTAAATTATAAGAAAGAGCTTAAAACGTGTAACAGATACAATGATATTATTTTCTTTATTTTAAAAAGGGACTTAAAAGGAATTTTACAATTTGTATTAACAACTCCTCTTTTGAAGAAGGAATCTCCTAAAAATTGTGAAAAGTATCAATTAAAAAATTATTATTTAAATCAAATTTATTAAATTATATTTTCCAGAGTCCTAATTAGAAATGGCGACAAGTATTGTTTAACAAATCAAACAAAGGTCCTTTCTTAACCTAGGCCTAGTCAAAGTTAACATTTAACTTTCAAAAGCTGTAAAATAATTTATGATCATATAAATACTTTTACTGACTTTAAGATTAAAGAGTCATAGATAAATATGCATAAATAAATATATATTTATGCTTCACATTTCTAAAAATATTAAATGCAACTATAATAAAAAATGCAAATTTTAATAGTTAGTAAAATAAACAATGAATCATTCAATCAGAATGAAATAAAGTTACAAAAATACTTTCTTATTGCAATATTATTATTTAGTAATGTGAATATAAAACAATGGATATTTACATTTATTATTTGGCAATGTAAATAAAAATTATTTTCATGAAAAAGATATAATGCAAAAAAATTGTTTTTAGCATATTTCATTTATTTCAGTAATTACAATCTTTAAGATAAAGCAAATCTAAACCAAAATTTATACTTTATTGACTTCCTTCAATTTTTCTTCTTCTTCAGTGTGCCTCTTTTTCATTTCATTTATCAACCTATGAAATTAACAAAGATGGAAAATAAATAATCTAAAAACTAAATTTTCATTGATAATGGTTTTATTAATAATAACAAAGCAAAACTTAATAACTGATTTAAACTTTATTTTAGTAGAAAAAATTACAAGCAATCTATTTGAGTTAGAGGATAATATAATTAAAGTGTTAGCATATTTTGGGCTCTTCAAATATTATCTAAATACATTTTTGATAATTTTATACTCCTTTTTTTCCATTAATAGCAAAAAAAGGAGTCTTAAGGAGGAATAAACTTTTCAGGGCTTTCATAAGATTTTTTATTTTTCTAATTGTAATTTTAAAACATCAGAAAACTTTGATCTTTTTTATTTGTAATGTCAATTATTAGATTTAAGAAGAAAAAAATAATATTAATAATTACTGAATGAAGATGAAACACGCCAGTTTGACTAAAATGTGAAATTTTTTCAATAGATGTTTGAATTATTTAACTTGAATCTCAATACCTGATTACTGTTACTGACAATTCTAAGACTGGTTATTTTCCAAGTTTTTGTAAAAAATTGCAACTTTCCCTGACTTTTGGCGTTAAAAAATAAAATTCACGACAATTCCAGGTTTTCTCTGTGACCCGTGGGAGTCCTGTTTCAATTTATATTTGCACAGATTCCCTGTTCAAAAGAGTCTAAGTAAAAGCTGTTGTTCAATGTTCACTGAATGTAGAATTTCTGTTAATGTAGAAATAAATAATTTCAAAGAAGGAGGACAGATAAACTTACTTCTGATGTTCTACTATAACTTTTTTATGAATTTCGGGCAGAACCATGGATTTTATTTTTCTTTGTAATTCTTCATATTTGAGATGCTGTGCCTTTTTTTCCATTTGTAAGATATCAATTTGTTCATTTAAAACTTCTTTCTCTCTCATAAGGATACGTATATGATCTGACAAAGTTTTAACTAGAAAAAAATATGTAATAAAATGCAAAAACACAGCTAAATGTTACTGACAGAGTAAATGTCATTTAAATGATATCTACAACATGACATTCAAATGTTCAAAAAATATTCATGTTATATTTTTTCTACCTATTTTATTCTATTTATTTTATCAAACATGTAAGCTAAAAATAAACCCACAAAAAATAAAAATGAATACATATATTATTCAGACACTTAGTTTTATATAGTTTTCTAAAATAAAAAAATAGACACTTTTATGACAGGTTTCTTCAAAATTATGTGACCATTAAGGAGTTAACTATTTATTCTCAGTATCTATTGGTCAAGTACAAGGTAATGATTTATAGAAAAGCTACTTTGAAATTGTTTTCAAAGTTATGGCTCAGGATGTAAGTGTATATCTTATGCTGTTTAATCCTCTATGTAAGCCTTAGCCACCATATTGAATTCAGGTAAAAGAGAAAAGGAACATTGCTATCCAGACAAGTGAGGTATTGAACCCTTTATGCCTTTTTTAAACATAATCCAGTAAGAAAAATCTAAATGAATATGATTGATAATTAAGATGTTATTAAGAAAAATATGACATGACTTATAGTTTTCAATTTTCATACTAAATCATCTGATTTTTTTAAAATATTTATTTTATAATTTTTCTGACTATTTTCACAGAAGCAGAGACTAACTAAATTTAAAAGGCCTGTGCAAACCTTACATCTCATGACAGTTTTGAATGTAACTCTAAACCCATCGAGTATGTGCAATATACTTGCTCGTAAAATCTATGGAATCGAAAGTTATGTGGTCAATTCTTAAGCCCTGTAAAAAATTTCTTTAGATCTATGTCTGAATTGAGCACCACTGGAAGAGATTAGTGAGTAGGTGGGTGAACACTTTGATCAATCTATAAAAGGACTAAGAGTGTGCAGTATTGTTCTAAACTGCTCTACCATAAAGGGCTTGATTTATGTTTACACCTTCATTTACATCTTTTTTTTGAAATGTGTGCATTATGTGTTTACTATCTCGCAGGTAACTAATCATACACAAAAAATTTAAAAATCATATTATTTGAAGCACTAGTAGAGCGATTAAACTGTATTGTTACCAACTGATATTGTGTGTACTGAAAATAAACAATCAGGTGTAATGTAATTTGAGAGAAATACTTGTATGAAAATTGCTTAAGGTACCTTCTTTTCTTGTTTCTGTCTCTAACTCTGTAATTTTCAATTGTAGGTTTGAATGTAATCGTTCTTCATTCCTTTGAAAAATTCATAAAATTTTTTTAAATCAGAAGACAAACACAAAACAACACAAAGAATAAACAAAACCATAAGTAATGAAATTTAAAACCATTTTTTAAAACAATATATATTTATATAATATTATTTGATAGTTTCATACATAATTTGCCTCACCATTTTTCTTCCTTAATGAAGTCTTGCAATTTTTTCTTGAGCAGTCGATTATCTTCAGATAAATCTTTAATCCTTGCTTTTAAAGTTATATTATTTTCCTATAAAAATAAAGTTTACTTTTTAACTATGAACAACTGCTAGTAAGTGTAATTTTATTATTTTAAATCAACAATTTTATTAACTATATAGTCTGATGTAAACTGAAAAGTCTCTTTACAAAGAGTAAGTGGTTTATCTACTATCCTTCTTGTTTTCAGTTGATACTAACGCGATAAAGGAAGTGCAAATGTCCGCAGAAATAATATAAAAGGTTGTGAATTGATTTGCCTGATATATTTCTTTTTTTTTTCATTTGATGTAGTTAACTAAAACTTTGATGCATTTTTCTTTAGTTGATATAACAAACAAAAATCTTATTTTTATTAGAAGAATATATAATAATTGTACACCAACGAAATATAAATTTAAAGTTTGATAAAATAGAAATATGTAAATTGTTTAATCTTATTATTATTTACTGTAGTAGACTAAAATCTTGTAGTAAACTTGTCCTTTCCTGTTCTTGTCCTTTTAGAAAACGAATATTCCAAATATTTGTGTTCTTCGAACTTTTTTTTTTATTAATTATATTTTATCTATAAAGGGACATCTCAGGTTCTCATTTGATTTTGATGCAATTTGTTTCTACATGATTCAAAAAAAGGCCCTATTTTTATTTAAAAATTGTATTTTAATAACATAATTTGAAGGATCAATAAAGAAAATGCAAATTGTGCTACCTAGATAGTTCAGCTGCAAATTATGCTATCTAGAACACAGTAAAATTTTTGTTAACAACATGAAATAAAGTAATTGCACAAAAATTGACTAAAAATTATCCATAACATATGCGCTGCAAACTTGCGTTCTTCCCGTTAAGTTAGCATTAAAAAATCAGTCATGTGAATTTCATATTCTATATACCTCATTAAACCTCAAAAGATGAAGGACCTCACTTATTTAATATAATGACTCTCAAATATTTTACAACAAATTTGAAAATAATTTGATCAACAGAAACTTCAAATAATCCACAAACTAAAAAATTTAATTACTAGTTTGAACATTAAAATACGCACCTCATCAGCACCAAACATAAATGAACAAAATGTGGAAAAATAGGCGAAGAAAAAATTAAAGGCAATGCTGCTAACAGATAAAAATAGAAAATAAGCAGGAAGTTTGAAGGAACAGATAAACATAATTAGTTTGAAATATTTTCTCATGCACAATGTAGAACTGAGATCATCAATAAAAGAACTAGTATTAATGTGAATAAAACAGGGGTTCCCAACCCTTTTTAAATTACTGTTCCCATATGAGATTGCCCTAGGTATATAACAATTGTCTATAGTATAACACAGTAAAACCTCGATCAATCGTTTCTCAAAGGACCATTCATTATGAATGATAGATACGGGAAAACGCAGAATATGAATCAACTTAAAATATGAAACAATGACTAGAAAATGTATGAAAAGTAATAAATATACGATAAGTGTAAAAATTTTTGATTGAAAAAATTAAGTACTTCCCACAAAAATACATAAGATGCAAAAGAAGGATAAAAAATATACTTATTTATTTAAAATATTTGGAAATCTTGGTTGTCTTTCTTCACAGCACAAACAATAAATTTCATCATTTGTTGCAGATAGTTCATTTTCTGAAAGTTTGAGTGAACCAAAAAAGTTCTACATTGTTTTAAAGGCTTCGAGGCCTTACACAAATGTTTGCTCTAATTCTGTTAAGTTCGGTCTTCATCGGTATCACTTAGCACTTCTTAAGCTTCTGCAACAATTTCTTGGTTTTCAACATTTTTATCAGCTCATGCAGCAAAACTGTTGTTTTACCCAAACTGTAACAAATCCCCATCTTCTTCATTATTAGTATCATAAGTTACTGTTTTTCCTCTCAAAACAAATTAACTTCAATTTTTTTTCAAATATTGGTAGAATTTCTGAACAATAGAAACCTGCTAATTCCAAAAGTGAATTATTTACATTTCTTACTCAACTTGTATATTATTAAAACAGTTATACTATTGAAATTGTTTGGTTCAAAAATAAATATCTGAAATTCCCATTTAATGATTATAGAGCTGAACGTTGCTATTATTTTCGTATGAATTCGAAACTTTAGTGTCCTCGCAGCTTCTCTAAATTTTCACTAACAGTTTAATATATCCTTCCTTTAACTTGATTAAACATGAAGTTTTTTAAAGAAAAAAAATATTATTTGAAAACTTAATACTTAAAGTCACTTTTTTCTTACTATTAACATCATTTAATAAATATAGATGCTTCAATTAATTTCTTTGTAATTTCTTAGTTTCAATTGCTTAGTTGTAATTTCTTAGTTGTAATTTCTTTGTTTCAATTAATTTCTTTCTCTCATTTCTTATTAATTGAAAGGGATATAATCAAAATATACTTAATTTCAGATATCCTACTGTTAATTTATAAAATATAATTATCTGATTTGATTTTAAACTATGTTTTTACTCAGAATTAACTATACTAAAAAAAAGCAACTCTTAGATTGCAGAACAATTTGAAACTTATTTTGCACTTTTACATCACTTATTTTGCACTTTTTATTACATACTAGGAAAAGTAATATATAAGTATTCATTTAATTGAAACTGCAAAGTGATATGTTGAATGCAAAGTGTTATGTTTTTATGCAAACACTAACAAATTTCCCATATTAGTTATTTTAATCCAAGATAGCATACAAAAATGCTTCCAGCATCACCATTAGATAAACAACAACTTAAAGGTATGGTTATAGAAGTGTAACGTACCAACAATATTAAGAGATATAAATTGGAAAATTTTATGTTTATTTATCGATTAATATTATTTTTTTTGTAAGGGACATTAAAAAGTTTTTGACTTACAAAGAGAACATTGATTCAAAAAAAGGTTGGGAACCTATGATCTAATACATGCCTCACATGTGTAAGACTATGGAACAGTAACTATGGAATGGAGAATATGGAGATGGAGAGAATAAAAATTTATTGCTTACATTAAAACTTCATATAATTTCAAATGTCCCAAAAAAATTCCATTTCTCGATCTGTATTATTAATAAAGTTATGAGTGATTTTTTCAGCTACGGAGGCTGTGGTTTCTCCCACAAAAACATAACTTCAAATTACTTTTTCATACGGATGCTTTTCTTGGTACTTTCATTTATAAAAAAATTATCAATTAACTGTGCATGTAAAGCAACTAAAAATTATTTGTTTTACTTTTATTTCGAAATATTTTCTGAGGATACTCTGACCCCTTTAAAATTAACAATATTGAAAATATTATAAATAAAGAGAAATTACCACTTGCCCTTGAAAGCATGAAAAATTTGTTTGGTATAGTTTGTCTATGTTAAGAACTCCCCCCACCACCACAAAGTCTGAGGACATCTGCTGCTATGGAAACAAGAATAGTGCATTTCAGAGAGGGTGTTTCTCTTCACTCTAGGGCTAGCACAATAGACTGAAGAAAAAGATTCCTTTCCTCTTGCTGACCCGAGCCAAAACCTGTCCTAAAAATGACCCCATGCCCCTCTTGAAATAGTTGTGCCTCGTTACCATACTTATCGCCATGGGTCCATACTAATGGATTGGGGAGTTCTTACTTTAGACAAGCTATACTTAGTTGATGCTTGCTATTCATAACATAGCTACTAGAATTTTTTGTTTTTGTTTTATATTTATTTTTGGGCAATATTTGCTTTTTAGCTTTAAAACTAGCTTCATAGGTATGAAATGTCACATCAAATGAGAGAAATCCTTTTTTTTTTCACCTAGGACAAGATATTCTTATATAGCGTTAATCCAAAACTCTATTAATTTTTAATTGAAACTTTCACGTTTTGAACAGTTTTTATATTTGCATGATTACGAACTTATATTCGTAATCATGCAAATGAGAATCGGTTTATCTCTTCATACTAGTGTAATTACAAAATGTTCATAGCATTGGGACAATATAAATAAAAAATTAAAAGAATTTTACATTTATTTCATCACTAAGGAAGAAAGGTATGGTTTCAACACGGTGAATGTGAAACATTCACTTCATAACTTTAAAGTTGCGAATCAAACTCAGAAAACGAGGAAATTCTCGGGACCAGAGCAATGGGCAAACAAACCTATGGGCAAACGCACCTTCAGGAATGAGGTATCGAAATGACAAACTCGTATTACACCCTCATATTGAATACAAAATTAAAGAAAACTTCTCAGCATGTGTTTTTAAAAATTAAGATGATTTTGCATTAAAATCAGGGGTTCATTTAGAAGAAATTTGGGTCCGTTAATGGACCCTTCACAAAATATCTTTTCATAAAAACGGACCCTTCACAAATTTGTTTATCTTCATTATTGTTTTGCTAATCAAATAAACCCTCACTGGGGGGGGGGGGAAAGACGGTTTAGAGACAAACTAAGTTTCTCTAAGTTTAAATTCCAAATGTAGCATTCTAAGAAAATATTTCTACTTTTACAAACATCGTGTATGCATTCTTATTAATATTAAATCATAATTTATTTATTTTTTGTAAATAAATAATTGATCAATTTATATTTATTCATAAAATTAATTAATAGAATATTATGTATTACAATTTTTTAAATAAAATAAATTTAAGAATTGTTTAAGTTTACTTAATGCATAACACATTAAAAGTGATACATTATTAAGTTGTGTTATTTAAAATACGTCAATTGAAATTATTAAAAATGTGAGTGATTTTGTTTCCATTATTCGTCCGAAATGAATACTCTGTGTTGAGCAGTATAGGCTAAATACCAAATATTTGTATGTTGCATCTCTAATTTAGTAGCAGCAATTGTTGAGCAGAATCTTGTATCTATTTACAATTTAAAAATGTCTTGAAAAGGTTTTTAGCAATCTTTGCTATAACAGGACCCTATTTGTGCAAATTCACAAAAGCAGGACCCTGGTTGAAAGAATGTGACTTAACGCTTATTTCATATTCACAAATTATGAATAGTTTTTTCACAATTTTACAAAAACAGGACCTTTCACAAAATGTCTGGACAGACCCCTGAAAATAATGACAACACTAAAAAATATCAGTCCAAGATTATTTATACTATGTAAATTATTTTTAGGTTTAATTATGGTTTTGTGGAAAACAAACATATAAAATTCAATTCTCAGTATGTAGGGATGGTTTACAAAATAGTAAGCAATTAATTAAATAAATAAAACAAAAACATTACAAATTTTTTTTAGATTTTATACAAAATTATGTAATGAATCAATAATTCAAGATAAATAATCAAAACTTTTATCTTGAGAAATTATCAAATTTGATATAGAATTTTCGACATTTTATAATACTATAACATATAATTTCATAAAATATTAAAAGCTTCTAAAAATATTTTAAAAAAAATTGAAAAATATGGAAAGATTGAGTTTAAGAAGACATTCATCAAGGAACATTCAAATGATTGATTTGGCAATGCAAAAGAAAGAAACATTTAAAAAAATTTAAAAAAAAACTTACTTTTAAATCTTCTATTTCAAAGTCATGAGGCTGTATTTTAGTTAAAACGTGCTTTTTCTGCAAAAATTCAAAAGAATAAACTGATTTTTACCAATCAAACAACAAATTTTTTTTTTAAAAAAAGTCACAGAGATTTTCTTTTTCTTTTTAAAACGTACATTACAAAAAATATACAAACTTAACAAAATATATTTCAATAAAATTGTTTTACAATGACAATTTTATAAAGTAATACTTTCATTTTCTTCTCTTTTTTTGGCAAAATGAAAAACTTAGCTTTTTTATTTCTTATTATTTTTTTATATTTTAGTATAAAGGTAATTATTTAAAATAAACATGTAATATAAATTTTCAAAATTAAAATATATAATCATCCTATAAAACATTTATATGTTCATTAAATTAAGCATAGAACATAGAATTTTTATTCTCAAGTGCTGGTATGATATTAAATTTTTCATTCCATCTGAAACAAATGGTACAAATCTGTTATTTTGTGATTTAAAGTGATTATTTTGATGACATTACTTTACATACGTAAGTAGTAGTTGCGTGAATTGCATCACCCGACATCCTTGAAACTATCTACTTCCTCATTGAAAGGCGCCAGAGAGTCCAGATGGGAAAAGTCCCAAATTAATAACTAACTTACTCATTTATATAGAGCAATCTAGTATAGCAATCAGTCTTTGTCCTGCAAAGCTGCGTGTAGGCAGCTCACCATTCATGATATCCCTGTTTAACTTATTTCCTTTTTTTTAATTAAGTCTGTCAAGTTTCATTATTAAATTATTGTCTTTTTTTCCTCCCATGCTCCACAAATCACTACACATATTGCAAAGTTTATTTTAAATATTGATGCAAATTTTAGTAAGTTAGCAAGCTACTATTGCAGTGATTTTCAAACTTTTCATACCTATGAACAACTAAATGCTTAACCAAATCAATGGCGAACCACATACACTAAAATGAATGAAAAACTGTAAAAGTTCAGGTCTACTACCTACACAATAATTAAACAGGTTCAGGTCTACTACACAATAATTAGAGGACAATTCCACAATGTACAAATATTGTACTTGCGGATTTAAAAAAATATTTAACTAAGTTAAAAATTATTCGGACAGTTCTATTATTTTTTGTGAAAATAAATCTTGGTGTCTTTTTAAACTTACTCAAATTTTTAGATATTTAAAATTTTAAAAAAAATAAAAACTGGATATTTGAATGTAACATATATTGTTAGATCCATAACACCCAGTTTCTAATTTTAAAAAAATTTTAAAAGTTACTAAAAGGTGGAATGAGTGTGAATAGCATCTAAGACATTCCTAAATGGAAGAATTGCCCTATAGTTATGCTAAACAATTTTTATTGGTATAATAAGCAAAATAAATTACAATAAGTAAAAGAAAATATGAAATATATAATATTGTAGCCCTAAATAATTTGGGAAAATTGACTTATTAGGGTGACCTGGGGTAATTCCTGATCAAAAAACGCAAACATCTATTTTATGAAAAAACTATTCAAAATAGAATTTTAATATTTACTGGAAGTTTGAGGCTATATGAGATGAGTCCAATGCCACCTTCTTTTGTTTGAAAATCTAATTAGAATTTAAAAGATTTCAAATTTTTAGTGATCAGGAATTACCCCTGGTCTTGATCATTTCTGGGGTAATTCCTGATCACTTCTGGGGTAATTACTGATCACCAGTATTTATTGTAAAGGGGCTGTTTAAAAATAATTATATATTGGTAATTAACAAATAAGACATCAAGATCAAACAAATAAACCAAAAAGATATGTTTAAGCAGCTAATAAAATTATTTATTTAAAAGCAAGAAGAACGATTAACACTTTAAATTTTCAAAAATCTTTGCATCGTGCCATACATTTTAGGCAATCAG